AGGGAAAACCAACTGATCCCTAATCCATGTAAAACACAGACATGTGCCTTTCACCTTAAGAACAGAGAAGCATCCCGAGCTCTGAGGATCACCTGGGAAGGAATCCCACTGGAGCATTGCAGCGCACCCAAAGACCTGGGAGTCACTCTGGACCGTGCTCTGACCTACAAGAAGCACTGCCTGAACATCAAGCAAAAAGTGGGTGCTAGAAACAATATCATACGAAAGCTGACTGGCACAACCTGGGGATCACAACCAGATACAGTGAAGACATCTGCCCTTGCGCTGGGCTACTCTGCTGCTGAGTATGCATGCCCAGTGTGGAACACATCTCACCACGCTAAAACAGTGGATGTGGCTCTTCATGAGACATGCTGCATTATCACGGGGTGCCTGCGCCCTACACCACTGGAAAAATTACACTGCTTAGCCAGCATTGCACCACCTGACATCCGCTCGGAAGTAGCAGCCAATAGTGAAAGGACCAAGGCAGAGACATCTCCAGCTCATCCCCTGTCTGGATATCAGCCAGCACATCAACGACTTAAATCTAGAAATAGTTTTCTAAGATCTACAGAGACATTCGCTGGAACACCCCAGCAAGTGAGAGTCCAAAAGTGGCAGGCTCAAACCCAGAACCTCAACCAATGGCTGATACCAAAGGAGAGACTCCCCCCTGGGCACACAGAAGACTGGGCGACTTGGAAGGCGCTGAACAGACTGCGCTCTGGCACCACGAGATGCAGAGCCAACCTTAAGAAATGGGGCCACAAAGTGGAGTCCATGACATGCGAGTGTGGAGAAGAGCAAACCACAGACCACCTGCTGCAATGCAACCTGAGCCCTGCCACATGCACAATGGAGGACCTCCTTGCAGCAACACCAGAGGCACTCCAAGTGGCCAGATACTGGTCAAAGGACATTTAATCAACTACCAAACTCACAAATTTTGTATTTTGTCTGTTTGTTTGCTTTGTTCTGTTAGAAATGTAATATAATTGACTGGTTGCCCTGACACAACAAATAAATAATATTGGGGTAAAATTACAATTATGAAGTAACAATGCAAATAATGTCATGATTGGGGGGTCACCACAACATAAGGAACTGTATTAAGGGGTCGCGGCATTAGGAAGGTTGAGAACCACTGGTTTGGGGGCAAGCCTTCCCTAAAATCACACTGATTTTTTTAAAATTGGAGGGTTGCAGATGCTTTGAGGAACTATGGTGGCTCCAGGGGAAACAAACATGAGTTTTAGAGAATCTGAATTCAGAAAAATTCAGAAAAATTCAGATGAGTATTCCTCTATCCCAGCTATGGCTCCCAGGAGAAAAATCCACCAGTCCATCTTCCACCAGTTTCTAAGCATTCACCCCTCTCTCCCTCACATGACCAAAAAGAAAAAACTTCTTTGCGAATACATGCCGAGGACGAATCAAAAATACAAACTTGCCTTTGTTCCTCTTTCCTAGTGGAAGAAATGCCTCTCTAGCAAAGTCCTGAGAGTGGAAGGCTTATCTGTTCAGCCTCACCCGAATTTTTGGAAGGCTAAAACTGCTTAAAAAATACAAAAAAAGAGAGATCCTACCTAAATATTATGGAAGGAATAGGTTAAGAAAACTACCAAACCTCAGAGGCTGCCAGTTGGGGCATGGAGATGTCAGCACTCCACACATCAAGTTCCTTCACTCCGCAGAGGCTGACACTCATGTCAGTGGAATGAGTCCCATTCGGACAAGCGAGAACTTGCAATTTCTAAGGCCAGGAGTTGTGCAGCAGCAAAGCAAACTTCCCAAGGAATTTGAGGGAAAGGAAGGGGAGATGGACGGTGGCGGCGAGGAGGCTTCCCGGAAGTGTATCTGCCTAAAGAGGGATTATGAAAAATCCCAATGTCAGCATCTGAACATGAGTAGCTGGCTTAACTGCTCTGAAGCGGCTCTTCCAGAGGTCAGATGTGAAAGGACTTGGGCCCTGACCTTCTCTGGAGGGCCCCTTGGCCTATACGGAAAAGGAACCAGGCACTGAGCCAGCCAAGCCTTCTGGAGAATCTCACAAGGTGGTGACTAGGTTTCCACTCCACGGCCCCCGTCAAAGGGCTCCTTTGCTTCCAACACAGCTCTCCAAACCTTTCTCCTGGATTTTGGATCAGCAAAGGAGGACCGGCAGCGTCACGATGACAGCCGCAACCTAGATCTCGGTGCTCACGCCATGAGCTCAGAAACAAGCTCGGACTTGAGCCTCCCTCTGTTAATTTAAATATAGAAATATTCTCCCTTGCAAGCAGGGTCATCTCTCCCTCTCTCTCACGACTTTCACAGGATGACTCACGGTTTGGGTTCATTTATGCATTATCGGAACTCAACTCCTCTCCTCGGGCGAGTTGGAATCGCCTGCAAAAGGCCAGACTCCTTGCAAACCTGGAGACTGTTTCTTACCCTTCTTTCACACAGGGCAGCAAGGCCCTATATATCTATATTCATACCTATCAAGACATGTCTGTCTATATATGTGTGTGAATTTCCCCCTACAATATTTGCAAGCCCTGTATCTGTATATTCATATCTATCTAGACATATCTATATATATATATTTGTGTGCGCATTTCCTCTTGCATTATTTGAAAGCCCTATATATCTATATTCATATCTGTCTAGACACATCTCTATATATTTCTGTGTGCATTTCCCTCCTACAATATTTGCAAGGTCTATATATCTATATTCATATCTATCAAGACATGCCTATATGTGTGTGCATTTCCCCCTGCAACATTTGCAAGGCCTATATATCTATATTCATATCTGTCTTGACACATCTCTATATATTTCTGTGTGCATTTCCCTCCTACAATATTTGCAAGGCCTATATATCTATATTCATATCTATCTAGGCATGTCTATATATAGATTTCTGTGTGCATTTCTTCCCTGCAATATTTCTATATATCTACATTCATATCTATCTAGACATGTCTATATATATTTGTGTGTGCATTCCCCCCTGTAATATTTGCAAGCCCTATATATCTATACTCGTATCTAGGCATCTCTATATATATTTGTATGTGCATTTCCCCTGTAATATTTGCAAGCCCTATATATCTATATCTATCTAGGCATGTCTATATATACATTTGTGTGTGCATTTCTTCCCTGCAATATTTGCAAGCCCTGTATGTGTATATTCATATCTATTTAGACATCTCTCTCTCTATGTGTGTGTGTGTGTGTGCATTTCCCCCCTGCAACATTTTCAAGCCCTATATATCTATATTCATATCTGTCTAGACATGTCTCTATATATTTGTGCGTGCATTTCCCTCCTACAATATTTGCAAGGCCTATATATCTATATTCATATCTATCAAGACATGCCTATATGTGTGTGCATTTCCCCCTGCAACATTTGCAAGGCCTATATATCTATATTCATATCTGTCTTGACACATCTCTATATATTTCTGTGTGCATTTCCCTCCTACAATATTTGCAAGGCCTATATATCTATATTCATATCTATCTAGGCATGTCTATATATAGATTTCTGTGTGCATTTCTTCCCTGCAATATTTGCAAGCCCTATATGTCTATATTTATATCTATCAAGACATGTCTATATATATTTGTGTGTGCATTTCCCCCCTGCAACATTTGCAAGCCCTGTATATCTATATTCATATCTGTCTAAACGTGTCTCTATATATTTCTGTGTACATTTCCCTCCTACAATATTTGCAAGGCCTATATATCTATATTCATATCTATCTAGGCATGTCTATATATACATTTGTGTGTGCATTTCTTCCCTGCAATATTTGCAAGCCCTATATATCTATATTCATATCTGTCTAGACATGCCTATATATATTTGTGTGTGCATTTCCCCCCTGCAAATTTGCAAGCCCTATATATCTATATTCATATCTGTCTAGACACGTCTCTATATATTTCTGTGTACATTTCCCTCCTACAATAATTGCAAGGCCTATATATCTATATTCATATCTATCTAGGCATGTCTATATATACATTTGTGTGTGCATTTCTTCCCTGCAATATTTGCAAGCCCTATATATCTATATTCATATCTGTCTAGACGTGTCTCTATATATTTCTGTGTACATTTCCCTCCTACAATATTTGCAAGGCCTATATATCTATATTCATATCTATCTAGGCATGTCTATATATACATTTGTGTGTGCATTTCTTCCCTGCAATATTTGCAAGCCCTATATATCTATATTCATATCTGTCTAGACATGCCTATATATATTTGTGTGTGCATTTCCCCCCTGCAAATTTGCAAGCCCTATATATCTATATTCATATCTGTCTAGACACGTCTCTATATATTTCTGTGTACATTTCCCTCCTACAATAATTGCAAGGCCTATATATCTATATTCATATCTATCTAGGCATGTCTATGTATACATTTGTGTGTGCATTTCTTCCCTGCAATATTTGCAAGCCCTGTATGTGTATATTCATATCTATTTAGACATCTCTCTCTCTATGTGTGTGTGTGTGTGTGTGCATTTCCACCTGAAAATTTGCAAGCCCTATATATTTATATTAATATCTATCTAGCCATGTCTATATATATTTGTGTGTGCACTTCCCCCCTGCAACATTTGCAAGGCCTATATATCTATATTCATATATGTCTAGACACGTCTCTATATATTTCTGTGTGCATTTCCTTCCTACAATATTTGCAAGGCCTATATATCTATATTCATATCTATCTAGACATGTCTATATATATTTATGTGTGCATTTCCCTCCTGCATTATAAACAAGCCCTATATATCTGTGAATAAGATCTCACAAGTCTAACTCTGCAGTCTCCAATATTTGAGATATACTTTTACGCCCGTTTCCAACTCCTTCCCCCAATAATCCATTACATTGGAGGTAGACTTTTCCAATTCTATAGCTCCCAAGGCTTTTGGTCAGTTTTAGGCTCTGATCTCACAGCCACCTCTCCTTCACAGCAAACCAGAGGAAGCTGGAAACACCTTACGAGTTCATTGATAAGCATGTGCCGGTTGTGTCAGGCCCAATTGTCGCCCTGGATAAACCTGAGAGTGCATCTTGGAACGCACACATTGCAACACCACAGCCAAAGATCAACAAGGGTGGGCAAGCTGTATTTCAAGGAAACTTGGTCAAAGTGCGCAGTCAGGGACACCATTCAAGAAGCACCTCCCTGGCGTATTCTCAAATATATATATATATATCAGACAACACCCAGCATAATGTGTAATGCATCTGGAAGAGAAAACAGGTGTGGTCCTTCAGGCCCTTTGGTGCTACGGCAAGAAACCACAAGTATGTATGAAATGATCAGATTCCTCTGCGCAAAGAAATGGACTGACCTGAAAACCAAACAACAGGGACAGAGAGGGGCTTAGCAAACAGAAAGATGAGTAAATAGGCTCCCTCGGCAAATCTGAAAGTCAGAGCGTTCAGACCATTCCTGTCTGTGAAGGCCTGCACCTTGCAAGGCAGAGGAGAGGTCTCTTAAGGTAAGCCATCCCATTGGGGAGGAGGGGAGAGGTATCTGTTTATCACCACCTTCAAAAATCAAGTTTCATTGTTGACAAGGCCCCAGGTGAAGAACACAACCATCGCACTTCAAGATAATTCGATGCAACGACAGGAACAGACCCCACAGCTAGTTATGTCACTTTGTACAAATGGGAAAAGATAGGTGCTCCTCTCCAAGGTGTCACCTTTAGACTCAAATCCGCTGCCAGAGAAAAACTTCTGGTCTCTCAACTTTCAGAGATGGGATCTGCAGAAAGAGAGAGTATGGTGTTGGTTAGGCCTGGGTTCGAGTGTCCTCTTGGACACGGGCAACTGGCTCAGAGGTATGAGGAAACCAAACGAAAGCAAGGAAGGAGAGGCTCTGAAGAAGGCATGTGTTGATTACCTGTGGGAGCATCATACGCGTGGTGAGACAGACAGACACGTCTTTCACAAGTGGCAAACTGGCTCTGACTGGCCTGCTCAAACCTATTAGGGCTGGAGCTCAATAGCTTTGCATGCAGGACTAACCAGCAAAACCCCTGACTTGTCACAGCCGCACAACTCAAGACACAAAAGCTCCAGACTGACGTTTCTCAGCAGAAGAAGAGGAAGAGAAGAGAAAATCCACACCAGGGTCTTCTTCATGCTCCTTGTATCTCTTCTGATGGAGGCTGGAGGGAATACCGCTCTGAAGGAACAACCCTAGGTTCTTCATCCACATCCCAGTGATGTCTCCTCATTCAACATCAAGATATAGGAGATTCTGCTAAGTGCCTGGTAAACATTCTATACCGGCCTTGGTTGTAGAGCAGGAGGATCTGTTATTTACAAGGTCTGGAAAATAATGCTACACCTCATATTTACCTGTGACCACATTTGTAAAGAGCCTGCCAAAGCAAACATGCAACATATAATCCCCATCCCAGCAAGCCTGCTGGTACAACCTGGGGATCACAACCGGACACAGTGAAGACATCTGCCCTTGCGCTTTGCTACTCTGTTGCTGAATACGCACGCCTAGTGTGGAACACATCTTATGCTAAAACAGTAGATGTGGCTCTTAATGAGACATGCCGCATTATCACAGGATGGCTACGGCCCACACCACTGGAGAAATTACACTGTTTAGCCAATATCGCACCACCTGACATCCACGGGGAAGTAGCAGCCAATAGTGAAAGGATCAAGGCACTGACATCTCCGGCCCATCCCCTGTTCGGATATCAGTCAGCATGCCAATGCCTTAACACAAGAAATAGTTTTCTAAGATCTACAGAGATATTCACAGGAACACCTCAGCAAGCGAGAGTCCAAAAGTGGCAGGCTAAAACCCAGCACCTCAAGCCATGGCTGATATTTTATTCAGAACATTTATATCCCATCCTATCTCAACCTCCACAGAGGGACTCAGGACGACTAACAACAACAACAAAAAACAAACAAAACGTAAGTATACATATGAAGTAAAAACAGTATAAAACATTATAAAAACATTAAAACAACATTAAAATAGCTTCCACAGATATACTCACAGGAACACCTCAGCATGTGAGAGTCCAAAAGTGGCAGGCTAAAATGCAGCACCTCAAGCCATAGCTGATATTTTATTTCTTTTATTCAGGGCATTTATATCCCATCCTATCTCAACCGCTGCAGAGGGACTCAAGACGGCTAACAACAACAACAATAAAAACCCATAGATATACATATGAAGTAAAAACAGTATAAAGCATTATAAAAACATTAAAACAACATTAAAATAGCTTCCACAGATATACTTGCAGGAACACCCCAGCAAGCAGGAGTCCAAAAGTGGCAGGCAAAAAAACCAAAACTTCAATCAATGGCTGGCACCAGATGAGAGACTTCCTCCTGGGCACACAGAAGACTGGATAACTTGGAAGGTGCTGAACAGGCTCTGGCACCACGGGATGCAGAGCTAACCTTACGAAATGGAGCCACAAAGTGGAGTCCACAACATGCGAGGGTGGAGAAGAGCACACCACAGACCGCCTGTTACAATGCAGCCTGCGCCCTGCTACATGTACAATGGAGGACCTTCTTATAGCAACACCAGAGGCACTGCAAGTGGCCAGCTTCTGGTCAAAGGACATTTAATATAATGCCAAGTTTCTAAACTCTGTGTTTTTTAAAAAGTACATCACAACCAAGGATTCACATCAGGAGTGAATCCTTGGTTCACTCCTGATACGATAACTAAATAATAGGCCTGGTGAAGCCATAGTTCTAAATCAGAGGTCCTCAAACTAAGGCCCGAGGGCCAGATACGGCCCTCCAAGGTCATTTACCTGGCCCTCACTCAGGTGAGAAGATTGGTGAGAAACATGCAAATGTGAGTAGATCAATAGGTTACGCTCCGGTGGGAAAGTAATGGCGCTCCATGAAGCCACGCCAGCCACATGACCTAGGACAGGGGTCCTCAAACTAAGGCCCAGGGGCAGGATACAACCCTCCAAGGTCATTTACCCGGCCCTTGCACAGGGTCAACCTAATTCTGAAACGACTTGAAAGCACACAACAACAACAACAACAATAATAATAATCTTATCTCATCAGCCAAAAGCAGGCCCACACTTCTCATTGAAATACTAATAAGTTTTGTTAAAATTGTTCTTCATTTTAATTAATGTATTGCTTTTAAGTGTTTTTTGCACTACAAATAAGATATGTGCAGTGTTCATAGGAATTTGTTCATTTTTCATTCACAGTTTGAAGGACTGTGATCTGACCCTCTGTCTAAAAAGTTTGGGGACCCCTGTTCTAAATGGTTCTAAAGTACCGTACTTGCAGAACTAAAGATCTGGTGGTGAAAATTTCAGAACTCTAACAAAACTTTCAAAATTTAATTATTATTTCATTATTGGTGATTTCTATGACAGAACCAATTAGGAACTGCCATTTATAATGAAATTTTGAGAGTTTTGTTAGCATTCTGAAATTTTCACCACCAGAACTTTAGCTTTTAGAACAATTTAGAACCATGGATAGGCCAGGCCTAATAAATAAGAAAGCTGGCAACACTAAAACCATTTTAAAAGCCCAGGATGTATTGCAGAAAATGACCAACACATCAGGTACAATGCCCGACTCTTTCCAGGGCAAACGTTAGAGGAGCATGAAGGGATATCCCAGCCACTCTCTTTAATGTGGGTGCCCTGGCCTTTTTCTGTATTTTGGTGGCACCCCTCAACCAAATCAATGCAGAGACGATGGGCAGGCTGCCCAAATTCAGCTCCTTCCTAGCTATTCAGCCCTGGCTCAGAGCCACTGGCCAAAGCCCTTTCACTCTCTCCACTACATAAGGCGGCATTGTATGGCCCAGAATTCCTGAATGCAGCCGGCTCAGAAGGGCGGCCAAGCGCTCTGGGCAAAGGCATGGGACTATGACGGCGGTGGCGGCGTTGTGGCCGAAACCCTAATCCACACAAGCCAAAGGAGGAAAAGGGGAAACAAATAATGGCAGGAGACTCATTACACGAAAGCCAAGCTTTCAGAAGCATCAATGCAACACAGGGGGCCATGCGGAGTGTGTGACGCTGCTGGCCAGAGAAACTGGTAGAGCAGGGCTGAAGCGAGTGTTTCGTCCACCAACCAGGTCAAGAAACTTGCTGGAACCAGGCTCATTGTGCTCACAAATTAATGCACAGGAATGAGGAAGGTGCCTGTCCTGCGTGCTTTTTGTGTTCCCTTGAAACACACCGATGATCTTGACTTCAAGTTCAAGCCCCATCAGTATACAAAATCCACTCGACAAAGGAAAGAAGACAGCGACACTGGGACATTTCTCAACACAAATGGAAAAAGTATATAATGTACATACAATATTTACTAGCCATCCCCTGCCACATGTTGCTGTGGCCCAGTCTGTGTATATATGTTTTTTGTGTGTATATATGTGTGTATGTTTGTTTATTTATTTATTTACTTCGCTTATATACCGCAATTCTCAGCCCAGGGGCGACTCACTGCGGTGTACAACATAGAAAACAGGTGCAAAATACAAGACATAGTGTAAAATAATCCACAATTCATCATTATCAAAAAACATCCTCATCAAAAACATCAACATTACTACAAAATTTATATGCCACCCTTCTCACCCTGAAGGGAACTCAGAGCAGCTTACAAGACATATATACATACAATACATTATATTATTAGCATAGTACAATATCAATATTATACATTTCTATATTGTAATATTATTAGTAATATTATATGTAATATAAAATATATAATTATAATATCACATTATTATCAGTATTATATTGCATTACATTATAATATTATAAATATTATATGTATATAAAATATATTATATTATTAGAATAGCACAACAGACAAGAGATATATTTGTGTATATGTGTATCTATGTGTGTTTGTGTGTATATATATATATATGTGGTTTTGCGCATGCGTTGTAATGTACCATAATTTTTGTTTTTTGGCTTTTGAAGTCTCTTCTGGTCTGTTTTTCAGTGTTTTTATGAGTGATGGTCACTCATTGGCCTGATCAGTGTCTTGTGTCCAAATTTGGTGTCAATTCGTCCAGTGGTTTTTGAGTTATGTCAATCCCACAAACGAACATT